CTACTCGTGGCTTCCATATCCATAGCTGCCGGAGATGGCTCTCTCGTGGTACCAATTGAACATGGTCCCTGATCTCTCGGCAAATCGCCCACTTTCTGTCGTCACTCGTCGTTCCATGTTGTCGGCCCCGCAAGCGGGCACGTGACCGTAATGGCAATGTTTACCAGGACCAGGACAAGGTGTGTGTGTGTGTGTGTGTGCGTGTGTGTGCGTGCCCTCGCGTATGGTGGTATGTGGGCATATGTGTTTCTGTGTGTGTGTGTGTGTGTGTGTGTGCGTGCGTGTGCGTGTGCGTGCGTGTGTGTGTGTGTGTGTGTGTGTGTGTGTGCATGCGTGCATGCATTTGTGAATATGTGCATGCGGTCGTGTGTGTGACAGCTGTCTATAGCAAGATCATGGATGGATCTATAGCCATCAGACTCCACTGCGTGTTGTTATAATGTTGTGCCTGTCGTCTGTGTTGGTGTCAACTTCAACAAACACTTCTTTGTCTTTAACTCGGATACTGAGCCAATAAATATAATTAAAATAGAAGAAATCACATGGAAACGAGTTATGAAGCAACTATCCACGCCTGTTACAATATATTAAGCAGTCAGAAAGTGCGATAACAGGGCACAAAACTGACATGTTACTGTGACAGTCAACAACCTGAGACCTAGCTCTCACACACCTCCAGTGCGCAAACCAACAGCCTTCCAGCTTGGAAGGTTCAAGGTTATGGTTAGACCAATGCGGGGAAGGTGAGTGCAGCAAAACTCTGCATAAGCTAAGTCCCATGGCAACAAAGAATGCTGACTGTTACAGGACCATGACGGGACCAGTTTATAACATGACAATGCGCTCTAACTACAATTCGAAGCAGCAAAGCAACACAACACCCAACTTGGGTGGGTCAGCTATATTGGAGATAAAGAAAAGGGGAAGCATTCTTTGTTGCCATCGGACTTAGCGTGTGCACATTTTCGCTGCGCTCACCTTCCCCTCATTGGCCCTACATTAACCTTGAACCTTCCAAGCTGGAAGGCTGTTGGTTTGCGCACTGGAGGTGTGTGAAAGCTAGGTCTCAGGTCGTTGAATGTCTCAGTAACATGTCAGTTTTGTGCCCTGTTATCGCACTTTCTGACTGAGTAATATCTTCTTACAGTCGTGGATAGTTGCTTCGTGACTCGTTTCCATGTGATTTCTCCTATCATTCTTAGTCTTTGTTCACAATATACATACATATGTACCAGTGGACTACTTTTGGACTTTTTATTATTTTCTTGTGTAATCAATGGTAGCAGTGAATCCTTTATCAGACCCACTCTGATTTAGCAGTCCAGACTATGGGGGATCATCTCCAAACCACCCAGGGTCCAGACATTCACCTTGGTGTGAAAAGTGGTCGTTTCATAGCTACTTAAGTTATCTTGAAATATCATAATTAATGGATTGTCCCTCTCCCCTTTTCGGGAGACCCAAGTGACCAGCAACTGTTGTTGTCTGTGAGAAAGAACAAGTATGTGGATATGGATGTACATCAATGTTTGAATATACATGCTTGTGTGTATTCGTGTATGTGAGTGTGCGTGTGTGCGTGCGTGTGTGTGTGTGTGTGTGTGTGTGAGTGTGTGCGCACGTGTGTGTGTGTGTATGTATGTGTGTGTGTCCATGCGTGCGTGCGTGTGTATGTTGCTTGATTTTGTGTTCATACCATTCCTGCATACCAGGGTCGGTTGCTATTCCAGGCCTGCGATGATGGCCAGCTGGAGTGTGCCTGCATCCTTGCAGACTGTTGCGGAGAAACAGTGATCAACCAGTTGTATGACGATGTGGTAGGTCTGTGTGTATGTGTGCTTGCATTGCTGACACTGTCCCAGGTACTAAGCACACTGCTCGGTAACTTACACTGACTGGCTTTAAATGTGAATGTCGAGGTGTTTGCATGTGTTCAAATTGTGCATGTGATTGTGTCTTTCTTTGAGGTAAGGGGGGGGGGGGGAGGTGCAATGTTAGATGAGGGGATGTAATGTTAGGTAACAGGGGGTGTAATGTTAGGTAAAAGGGGGTGTAATGTTTAAAAGTAAGGGGGGGGGGTAATGTTAGGTAAGGGGTGTAATTTTAGGTAAGAGGGGGATGTAAGGGGGGGGGGGGGGGGTGTAATGTGTTTTCTCTTGCTTCATTCCAAACAACAACTAGCTCCGGAAAGCTCTGTGACACGATGCCAACAGAATGTAGTGGCGTGCGTGCATGCATACAGGGGAAGCGGAACATGTAAATGGATAGGAGCACAAACGGTGCCGCGTGCATACATGCGTATGACAGTCCATGCATGTATATGTGAACACTATAGGGGTAGGGGGTTAGGAGGTACATCATTTTAATAAGTGTTTTAAATTTATAGAAGAAAAAAGGACCAAGGAACTACAAGTTTTTTAAGTACGAGAGTCTCGTTCTGCGGTTTGATTTTATGTCAGATATGAGTGAAACACAGCATTCAGGAAGTAAACATATGACTCAGCGCAAATTAGCAACTTAGCTACAGTACTGTCGGTCGTCGAAGAACTGGGTGCGAGGGAAGGGGGGGGGCAGCTTCCTAGCCTAGACCGTTCTTATTATCATTTACTACAGTCTATGCACAGTTGAGTTACCGTGTATACATTGGTATGCTGTGCTTGGTGAAATTCTAGCTGGGAAATTCTTCGGCACTTCGTTCTTCTCCGCCCGGCAGTACTTTTGACAATAGACACCCTTAGCAAACAACGGTAACGCTATTTTTTACGGTACTCGTACCTTGACTACCCAAATAGGGTTGAAGCTGCAGCGTAAAAACGTTATGGGGGCTGATTTGTCGTTGTGACCAACGGTACGTTTTTTGGCCAAATATTGCTTAGTCCGTACGCATTTCACCTTGTACTGCGTATATGGTGACATAAATGGTTGTACCGCGCGAAATAAAAGCTATTCTCGTGGCAACAGCGTACTAAAAATTGCGTGCATCTTGCTAAAGGTCGAACCCAAATCACGGTATTTTCCCCCTTACGGTAATACCGGTAATAGCGCGAGCTCCGGTGTGGGGAGCAAACCTTTCTTACAAAATCATCGCCGAAGTCGCAACCACTACTTCGTACGGTAATACCGTTACAACATAACGTTTTTGCTAAGGGTGTCTATTGCCTGATCTAAAATGCTTTTATAAGAACTGACTGCTGGAGTAAGAAAAGTGTGACATTCCTCAAATGCCATATCAAGTAGAATGGGTGGATGCAGGTATGTGATATCGGTGGTATCACTCTGCTCAAACAAGACTTGCAGGTCAATGTCTAGCTACGTCAGGAGTACTCTACCTTGAAATTCCAAAGGAATTATCATTATTTGAAACTCGGATGTTGAGCCATAAATAAATGTGCAAAGGAAAAGGACATATGGATATGAGTTAAGAGTAGCTCTCCATCACTGTAACTGCTTACTATATACGTTGAATGTCTCAGTCCTCTTGTCAGTTTTGTGCCTAGTTATTGCACTTTCTGACTGTATATAGTATCCAGTTACAGTGATGGAGAGTTACTCTTAACTTGTATCCATATGTCCTTTTCCTTTCTTCGTTTATCATTATGGACCTTTTAATCAAATAGCGTTTACCTTAAAAAAATAAAAAATAAGGCAAAGTCACTAATGGATAGTTATGTCTTAGGATGATAGCCAGCTCCTGTTGACCTGCCGTATGTGAAGTAATGATGTATGTCAATCCATTACCCTTACCCTGCCTTATCCCCTATCGAGTACCTCTTTGTATGCTTCCAGCAAGGGTACTGAGTGAGTCAGTAGAGTCCCTACTTCTATTGTTCAGACAACAACGAGCAGAGCATTTCAGACATTTTCTACAAGAATAAAATTTGCTTGGGATACAGTGTACATAACCATGACCATTGTTTAGTATGGCTTCAGTCAATAGGTATAATACAGTGCAACATCTTCACTATACATACCAATTAGCAGAGATCAGATCCACAACTTGCAGGGCATGTTTCTACAGGCCCTTGCGATCTCAACAATGTTCTTAAAGCAGTGAACATTGCTATACCATTGCGACCAATGATGCAGCTATGCTTGTGCATTTGTGCGTTTGCGCATGTGTGTGTGTGTGTGTGTGTGTGTGTTCTGTGTATGTGTGTGTGTGTTTGTGTGTTCGGTGTATGTGTGGGTTTGTGGGTGTGTGTGTGTGTGTGTGTGTGTGTGTGTGTGTGTGTGTGTGTGTGTGTGTGTGTGTGTGTGTGTGTGTGTGTGTGTGTGTGTGTGTGTGTGTGTGTGTGTGTGTGCCAGCTAGTCCGGTTCGTGGGCACACTTATGCCTGATTGTGTTGGGTCTGTTGCCAATGGTCTCAGCTGCTTGAACGTGTAATGTTGTACCTGCCACCTTTGTTGGTTCCACGGTTCATACAAAAACTTCGTGACTTTTTTTGAAAGCTTCGCACAGCTCTGGAATTGTTCCGTTTGACTTGGAATAACACTCGTGGCATTGTCTAACCTGTTTACAAGCTATATACAGAGAAAAAACCAACTCAGACGAATGAGATTGAGTTTTTTCAGAGTCTTCGTCGCTCGTGTCATTGTCACCTGACGACACTGACTCCGCATCGCCAACAGTTGCTGCTTCCGCTCGCATTTCGTTCAGATTCTTGTCAGCTACAGTGATGATCCGACGCTGGACTTTGGCTACGTCCTCTTCATCTCCAGAGCTGTGTACGAATCGGTGTCGACTATTCAATCGTTCCAAGCCGCGACCTCCATTATGCCGTGAAACGAGTCGTACAAGCACATCCACACGCTTCGCATTTTCTCGCCAGGATAATCCTCCCAGCGTTCTACAATGGCTTTGAGGAGGTCCCTGCGATTCCCCTTGGCGACAAAGGAGACATCTGACTGGAGTGAGGCGAAGAAAGCCAGGCCGTCAACATTCTGATCTGAAGTCTGCGCTGGTTGCACGACGACTGAAATGTTTCATCTTGCCGTGCGAGCATGACTGCCGTGGAGAATCTGTTCGGGATCAACCAAACTTACCTCGACATGAATGTAGGTTGTCGATGACAGCCTTTGCCGCGGTTCGTTGAGCAGGTTCTTGCTAAAAACACTGTTAAAAAGTCACGAAGTTTTTGTATACGGAGGAATTTTCTTCTATTTGAAGTATAGATAAGTCTCGTTATAAGATAACTTTTTCGATGGCCCAGAGATTATCTACTAACGAGGGAGGACCTGTACATATCTGTTAACCATAGATTGCTTCTGGCTAGATTAACTCTTGTGTAATCAATGGTGCTAGTGAAGCTTATATCAGATCCACTCTGATTTAGCCACCCACACTAGTAGCAAGTATTACCTTCACTGGGGGCAGGGGTAACTGCAGTTGGATCACGGGACGGATACCCTGATGCCGTCAATCCTTTTTCTGCACCTTGTCCTCGCCCACTTACTGAGTTGTGGTGAGCCCATAAGTGGGATCATTTTCAAGTCCACCCAGAGTTTTGGGGATTTCAGGGGGTTTCGGCCGTTGGGCGGTTCAATAGCCAATTGAGTCATCTTTCCAAGATTCCTTTCGAGTCTCTCTCCCCTCTCCCGGGGAGAGCCACGTGACCTGTTTTGGTAGTGAGCAACAAGTACAAGTATGTGTGTATATGTCTGTCTGTCTGTATGTGTGTGTGTGTATGTGTATATGTGTGTGTGTTCTGTGCGTGTGTGTGTGTGTGTGCATGTATGCGTGTGTGCATGTGTGTGTGTGTGTTCTGTGTGTGTGTGTGCGTGTGTTCATACGCGTGCGCGTGTGTGCGTGTGTACGTGTTGTTGGGCTGGCGGTCTGTACATGTGTGGTGTGTGTGGGTGTACGCATGCCTACACTACCTATGTTGTTCTTACTAGGGTTCATGGAGTTACACTCCACTACATCGAGCATGTAGGCGGGGTTACATTGATATTGCCAAGCACCTTGTCAAGTGTAAAGCCAAGGTGGACAAGACTGATTCGGTAAGTTGCACACCACTCTGCCTGTACATTGAAGGATGACTCAATATTGGCTCATGTACTAGTCAAAGATGCCAGACTTTGCCTGTACAGCAACCGTGTTTATGCTGGTGAACCACATTGGTGTCTTTTTCAGATTGGAAACTCATAACCATTTTATTACCACAAATATCGACACCCATGTATTATTACACGATGTCCGTGACATGTACGCGCTCATTTTAGAACCGATGCTGAGATTACTTGTAGAATAGAAGACAGTGTGTGGATAATTGGTGATGGTGAGTAAAGTACTCTGGTAGGCTGTAGGGAATGTGAACCATGTTGTCAGGAACATGGGTGAAACTTACCATCCTAGCACACTATTTCATGCAAGAAGCATGATAATCATTCTGAGGTTATTGGTGGAGAGTATGACGAGATAATTGACTGGTGTCGGTCGAGCGTAACATGGTAAATTCATTCAACCACAATGTGTATTGAGAAGTACATTTTGGAGTAGCAATGTAGCATTGTCACATGTTTCCTACTCCAGTCGGTTTCAAACACACCTGGTCTGATATCAATGCAGACATGTAGTGTGATAGATGATGTGTACATTGCAGTTCAAAGGAGTTATGTACGTAGACTATCCATGCCTTTATTTGTGTAATAGACCATTCTCAATGCCAGAAAGTAATGGTTTTATTTGTGTAATAGACCATTCTCAATGCCAGAAAGTAATGGTTTTGTTTGTGTAATAGACCATTCTCAATGCCAGAAAGTAATGGTTTTATTTGTGTAATAGACCATTCTCAATGCCAGAAAGTAATGGTTGTATTTGTGTAATAGACCATTCTCAATACCAGAAAGTAATGGTTTTATTTGTGTAATAGACCATTCTCAATGCCAGAAAGTAATGGTTTTATTTGTGTAATAGACCATTCTCAATACCAGAAAGTAATGGTTTTATTTGTGTAATAGACCATTCTCAATACCAGAAAGTAATGGTTTTATTTGTGTAACAGACCATTCTCAATGCCAGAAAGTAATGGTTTTATTTGTGTAATAGACCATTCTCAATACCAGAAAGTAATGGTTCTATTTGTGTAATAGACCATTCTCAGTACCAGAAAGTAATGGTTTTATTTGTTTAATAGACCATTCTCAATACCAGAAAGTAATGGTTTTATTTGGTAGTAGCAAGGTACATTCCCTAAGTGCCATTTTCCCATTGCAGGATGTTTGAGTGTGTGTGTGTGTGTGTGTGTGTGTGTGTGTGTGTGTGTGTGTGTGTGTGTGTGTGCCAGTGTGTGTGTGTGTGTGCGCGCGTGTGTGTGTGTGTGTTTAAAAGCCACTGTCGTGTATCGTGAGATGCTAATGTGTTCAATTGTTTTTTCCAGACCTAGCTTAGAGGAACATTGCCAATTGAGCAATCAGAGTAGCCTACATTAGAATCCCGTGACTCGCAGTAGATTGCGCATCATATTATAATATAAGAAACAGACTGCAGATAGATTGCACATATGAATGTCTGATCTTGTCTTTACCTGCACACAGTATGGTGGCCTTCCTGTTCATCACGCTGCTGAGAATGGACATCTGGAAGTCGTCAAGTATCTACTAGATGTCCAGCCCGACATGGTCTCCGTAGAGACCACAGTGAGTTAAGAAATCTCTTGAACTGTAATAGTCACGAGTCTATAAGCAAAGAGTGTGCACCTTTGGCAAATCAGTGCAGGCGCGTACGCATGGGGTAGGTTCCTGTTGCCCGGAAACCGCTCTAATGTGCTAAACGCACCTCTTTGCAATGATGTTTTCAATGCAGTTTAGTGAGTGCACCGGTGAGCGTGCAACACTAGTACATGTACATGTACTTCCTACGCGTCATTAAAACTGTCACTTCCCACAGCGATTTTTCAAAATTGTTTTCTACACTCGAAAGGCAAAGAAATCAGCTAGAAATTGAGGCAGAGCATTGTCAATGGACCAAGCTTTAGTTTGTGGCCTCCCGCTTCGCTGCACTTGCAGCTAAGGTCAACGTCTTCATCAGAGTTTGAGACAGACCCTTCAGCACTCAACAATACGCTGAACATGACGCACGTTCAAATTCAGGTCAAGAAACTTTGTTTTCAAGCGATCCATGCCTCCAGGTGGCAGGCGATGAAGACAAGCTAACATTTTTCAAGTACTCTGTAACGGCCTTCCAGCGGGATAGGGTAAGCAGTTCCGCACCTTCTTTCCTTGGCAAGCGCTTCGCCGATTTTGTTGGGGTTTTCAGACCTGCTACCTTCGCAGCACCATGCGCCAAAAGTACCACATTTTAGGAATTCGAGAACACTTTGTTCTTGCCATTGTCAACCTCAGCATTTCATATTCAGGAGAGATACCAGGAGTCTTACACTCGAGCTTGCAGCTTTGATAAATGCCCACGCGAACGATGTTGGACGGCACGAACTCCAGAAAAACGATATGGCCTCTGGGGCGGACTAGTGCGAAGCGCGATGAATTTGCTTGGTGCGGAAGAGAGCTCCGACAAAGTCCGAGACCACCACGGCTTCAGTTACAAGTAGACATTGCGCAGGAAGGGTCGCACCAATGTTCGAACACAGAAAACAGAGATTCCGACTATCTGACTAAGATGAGCCAAGTCCCAAACATTGCGATGTGCGAAGTGACAATTTTAACGACGCGGAGGAAGTATGTAGCAGTACTCAATGCTTGTAATCTTGACAATCAGCGAGTCATAGTGCAAGTATAGTGTAGACCAGGTAGTCGTGGCTTTTACTCGAGTGTTGCGACTCCCCGGTGTAGTCATTACAATCATAGGCATGCTCACGGCTCTACTGTCTGCCAATGTCCATAGTTTGGCGAAGCTAGGGACCCGGTAACCTGCTAGCCACACATGCGGCAATCTATGCCATCATGGTGTGGGGTTTTGACCGTTGCGCAGTGTCATGTTGAAGGAAAAAGGACGAAAAGCATGTTCCGCAATTGCAATTTTTCCCGCCGCGAGGAGCTGAGTGTTGTCTGGGACTGTAGATGGTGGCCCATGAGAAGCTATGCTGGGTTGAACCTGCATTCGAGGGATGTTGAGCAATAACTTAGCAGCGCGCCATATAGGTGAGACCCTTTTACTAGTAGCAACTTGACTGACTCTGACCGTACGCTCGACGAGGTCATTGCCCTGCGGATGCAGCGGACTGCTCGTTTGGTGATGTATGCCGTACTGCTGCAGGAAGGTTTCAAGCTGTACGCTCTGGACGGTGGGCCATGGTCGGAGACAAACGTCTCAAGGAAAACATGGGTTGCGAAGATGGACTACAACTCGTTGATAACTGGCTTAGGCAGCGATCACACCGAGCTCGATTCAGCCATTCAGCCGAAAAAGCGCTTGTTTACGCTTGTTTGATTACCATGGAAATTGCTGAAAATGTCCTGCAAGCGACCTTCAGCCGTGGCTGACTCGCAGCCGTTTTTTCAGCTTGTTTCAGCCACAGCTTGTACAAGCGGCTGAAAGCCAAAATTCAAAAATTATTTTGAGTGCGCTTTTGACACACCATTCATGTAGACTTGTAGTGAACACGAGGCGGCGAACTGATATCGATGTTCTTTCTTGTTTCCGTGCTACATGTATGCCTTCACCTTGGCTTTGGTTTTGATAGTGTCTGTCTATCCAATAGTTAAGTTTGATTTTCTCCGATGACCATGGATTCCTGGACTGCCGGTTCCTCTAGAGCGTAGAATGTTGGAGCTGTGGTCCGAGGCCAAGACAAGGCACCAACTCACGACTGAATTCATGAAGAAAGTTACGAAGAAGAGAGTGGATTGCGACGGAATTGAAGAACAGCAACCGGCGGAGCAGAAAGCTCAAAATAAGGAAACCACGTCACCCGAATCATCGCGTCCATGTGCACCGAACAAATAAAAAGAGCAAGAAGTCACAATTCAGGATCCGGGCTTCTTTTGCTTCTTGTTGTTGTTCTTGATTTTTACTTCTTCATCAAAACTGAACACAAGTTGTAGATCGCCACTGTTCTGCTTTCCGATCTCTCACGAACGTTGGTGTGTTTCGAGATATTCAAAATTTGGCGGGCAAAAAAACAAGCCATTCAAGCTTCGCACACGGTGTCTGGTGTGACCGCTCGACAGGGAGCACACAAGCCAGCTGAGCGCAAGCGATAACAAGCCCAAAGTGGCTTGTTTCGGCGTGACCACGGCCTAAGCAGGCAGTACTGACATACATGCTAACTCCACATATCTGGAGTAATAATATACTACAACCAGGTAGTTTGCGGAGTCGAATTGCATGAAGTCGGCTGCAACATTCTGCCATGGCAGGTCGGGAAGAGTGTTAGGACGGAGCGTCTAAACCTTCGGGCGGTGAGTGTTGAACACACGGATTGCAGGACGCGATGAAATTGGCCAGCTGAACACTCAATCCTGGCCAACACACTGACTGCTTGGCACGGGCACGGCACTTCGTGATGCCAAGATGGCCCGAGTTGAGTCGCTCGAGTGCATCAGGCGCAAGGACTTTGGGATGACAATCTTTTGTCCATACATAAGTAGACCAAAGCACACAGTTAAGTTGTCTTCAGCGTTGTGCTATAGCCGGATTGAAGGTGCCGGAACATGTTTGGGATGAGACCAGCTGCCTTCGACATACTGGCGAAGTAACTTACAATCCGGATCGTTTAGCTGATGGTCTCAGATTTCTGCCAGGCGAGCATCAGAGGCCGGCATGCTGTCAGCAGTGGCGGAGGCAAACTGTTCAACCTTTTCGTTGAAACTTACAGCACTAGCACAAGACGACTGTAGACCAGGAGAGTGAGAGAGTGCATCAGGAATGACTAGGTGCTTTCCTGACAGGTGTGATATCGAGAAATCAAACAGCGTCAGACCCAGGCGGAACTGTTAGTTACCTCCTCCCGTACCTTTTCTAGCTGGCCTGCATGCACTCGTGTACTCACCTTTTGTCTCCTTTTGTTCCGTTGGCCTGGGTAGCTACTTGCGCGCGCATAATTGCCATAGCTACCCAGGCCCTTTATCTTGCCGTTCAGACTTGATCTCTTTCTCTTTCTCACTCTTCAATAATCACCACGTAGTCGTTTCGTTCGTCCTGGTCTTAGTCATCCCGTCTCTAATAAATGTCGTTCCACCAACCTAACTTGTTCCCGTTGTCCGTTGTCCTAATTCATACTCAACATTGGCGCCCGACCATTGCTCAGAACCCACAACCCTCGTCCTCAACCGCCACTCGTCTCGTCCATGTCCATCTCGTCTCGTCTCCAACCTCGTCTCGTCTCCAACCTCTTCTCGTCTATGTTAACCTCGTATCGTCCATGTCAACCTCGTCTCTTCGATGTCAACCTCGTCTCGTCCAAGTCATGCAGGTCAGCTACGTTCTTTATTTCTCTCTTTCTTTTTCATCCGTCCTTCATCGTCAAATTTATTTTCGGTTAATTTTATTTTGTGATTTTGTAGTGTGTGTGCGCGGGTGTCCTTCATTAATATTAGGGTCCGATCATGGTGAGCCACGCTCTTATATTTATGTGTAACTAGGCTGTATTAGCCGTGCAAAATACTAGTAATCAGAATGCAATTCACGTTCCTCGTCAAACTCCAATAGTTATTTTTTGTGCCATGTTTTTGAAGTGGCGTTTGGGCCCGTTGTTTTTGGCAATGTACACACTATAAGTAGTACAGGAACGTTGTAATGATCTGTAGTGCATTTTTAGTATACACTTTTGTGAGGCCCGTGCGTTGCGTGTGTGTGTGTGTGCGGGGTTTTTTTTTCTCTTCTTCCTCGGTCATTGTTTCTCTCTATTTTTCTCATCGTCTTATTATTTCCCGCGTGGTCGCGGTTCTTTTTTCACTCAGGGGAGGTATGTTAGGTACCTCCTCCCGTACCTTTTCTAGCTGGCCTGCATGCACTCGCGTACTCACCTTTTGTCTCCTTTTGTTCCGTTGGCCTGGGTAGCTACTTGCGCGCCCATAATTGCCATAGCTACCCAGGCCCTTTTTCTTGCCGTTCAGACTTGATCTCTTTCTCTTTCTCACTCTTCAATAATCACCATATAGTCGTTTCGTTCGTCCTGGTCTTAGTCATCCCGTCTCTAGTAAATGTCGTTCCACCAACCTAACTTGTTCCTGTTGTCCGTTGTCCTAATTCATACTCAACAGAACCGTAAGACACGAGGCAGCACATTATCAACTGCTGTCGAGCTGATCAGGGGAACAAGCGGCTGGTGGTCTGTCTCAACCACGAATCGCTTACCAGTGAGGTAATCGCTGAAGCGTTCACTAGCCCAAGTGATGACAAGGGCCTTTCTTCTCGAACGTAGCATATTTACGTCCATAGCTGTCCGTGATCTAGACACACAGGAAACAGGCTTCCACTCGCTAGAAGGTTGCTGTTGCGAGAGAACTACACAGATGCCATAGCCCGGTATGTCTGATGATACCATGGTGGAGTGCATCGGTGAGTAGAGTGCCAAGACAGGGTCTGTTGGCAGAGTAGCGTTCAACTCTTCGAACATTGACTGTTGAGCGGGGGCCCGAGTCCAGCCGTTGTCCTTCTTCAGGAGGTCACGGGGTGGCTTCGAGACGGTGTTAATCTCGGGAGAGAACTTTCCAAGTTTGTTTACGATTCTAAGAAA